TTGCTGTATTATCTCTCGTACGATTATACTATAATATTATTAGAGTAATACAAACACTACTACATTATACTTGTATCGGCGATCATTAATCATTAGATATCCATCTAAACGTCCGCCGATCATTTGATATCTAATCTCCAGAATATTCGATCGTATAAATCAATCGCATCTGTTCGTTCCACGATTACCGAAGAAATTCAGATACTCTCCGAAGCAATTATCGAATCGGTTGATCGACCAATGGCCGGTCTACAGTGCAGACTTCAAACGGCTGACTTTCTTGAGAATAAAACCAGCGTGATGTTTTCGTTAATGGAAACGGTTTTTGCGGGTGAACGGTAACTCCAGTCAGGCAACTGTATAACTAACGGCCAGGAGAAAGGAGAGAATATCATTCAACCGTCGATTTTAATGAAACTTCCGATGAAATTCAGTGCAGATAAGTTATGCGACTACACACGTTTTATTACATCGTTACGAATTCATATATATTCCCAGATAACACCGTTCTAACTGATTAGCATACTGCCCAAACTCCAGGCAATCAATGTTAACCCTTCGAGTTCGATAGTAATCGAAGATGCTGACAGTAAAGATGGTAGTCAGCAATAGCGGATCATTAATTGCGGTTAATACTTGATAATAATTGACAAAGATTAATAATAAGTAATAATCCATAAGAATTGACGACAATTTAAAGAAACATCCTCAGTTTCAGAAAAGATTCTCGACCATCCTCGCGACTCTGTCTCTTAAAAGTCGAGGTTTCGGGGAATGTTCGATAAGAATCGAAAGAGAGTTCAAACGGGAGCAGCGCGGACGAATAAAGAGCGATCGAGTGAAAGGGGAGGGGTCAGGGTGTCGCGGAATAATTAATGAATCCCATCGAGACACGAATCGCGTTTTAAGCGTCATAAAATCTATTTGCCGGTCGGCGCGCCCGGGAAATGAAGCGTTTTCTCGCGGAAAAGTATATACCTTAAACGTACCCTATTATCCGACTCCGCGGTGATTAATGGCCTTACGTTAATTACGTATCGTGCGGTTTTCGACGGACACCGCGGCGGATCGTCGCCGCAGCTCACCGAGGTCGACGGGATTAATTCGTACGCGTCGAGCGCAGCTTTCTTCGAGAGACACGAGTAAATAACAATTCTGGAGTTCGGAAAATTGAAATACTCGAATGTATTGCGTCAAATCCATAACGAAAGTTTCAATGAAAACACAAACTCCGTGTTCCAATCTTCTTTTCTATACAATTTTTGTCTGTGAAATCTAGCAGCTTGAAAATCTTAACACTTTTACGTCCGGTGACACTATAAATTATTATTATTATTATTATTATTTGTGGTGACCTCAACGTGGTGCTATGTGAAATTACACGTATCATTTAATAAAAAGCAGCTAAGTTTATCATGTTGTAACGAATTTAATATTTTATATTTGTACATTTTAACGAACAACTTTGCAAAAAGTTCCGGCGACAAAGAAGAAAATTTTTGTGAAAGTGTTAAGAATTAGACGAATCGTATGCAACGCATCGGTGACCTCGAATTTTCGTTAGGCGAGCAGCCGAATTTCGGGTTCCGTCGACAGGCGGTCGTTGTAACGGCCCGCGGAACGGTATAACGTATTATATGTAGGTAGCCGGCAGTTCCTGAAATACTGCACCACAATGTCCGCGTAACGGTCCGCTGCAGCGGCTCAGCGGTATCGGCTTGCAACATTTCTGCGACGTTACACGGTGCCAACGTTCCCCGTAACGTCATCGGCGACGATTAACCCGCGGACGGCGAACGTGGGCCAGCTTCTGACCCAGTTGCGTGCACTTCACCCGATTGCGTGTGCGTAACGCACGCGCTCGAAGCTGCGGACCGAATCGTGCACGGGAATTTCTGCTTAACGCTTTATGCGATCGAGCCACTGGTTAAGAAAGTGTAGGAAACTTTAAATTATTGCATTCAAATTCATAATGGAAGTGTCAATTGGAAGTAACAATTCAAGAAAAATGCAAATTCCAACACTGCTTCTTCGAGTAAAGTTCATCTTCCAAAGATCAGCTGTACTATCGAACAATGAATTGCTTTCATATTTTTAGCTGACAACTGCTATTGTCATCGAACAATCGATAGTAATTAGAAATTTATTGAAGCTCCTCGATGAAGGGAGCAACGATGAAGCTGAGTGTAACGTGCAGCGACAGTTTAAGGTCACAGACTTCAAGTCCAAGATGTACGTAAAAATGTTTACGAAATATGTAAATTTTCAGCGCGGAAAGCGAAACGAAAATTCCAAGTCGAAGTAGAATTCCGTAAGCGCCTGAAATATTTCCGTCGTCCAGCGAATTCCCGTCTCGCCGGCCGAACGACGCCTCTGTTCCCGGTGTAATCGTAAGTGTTCCACGGGCGACGGTGTCCCGGCCATTAGACTATTTGCATAATCCCGCAGAAATGGTGTGCAAGGGGATATCGAGTAACGGAAAATTGAATTCCTTGAAGGAGGGCCTTGAGACCGGTCCATTCGCTGGCACATTACGCCTCTTATGCAAATCCACGTCCAATGACCTTTCTTGGCGCGCGCAATCTATCGGGCAGCCGGGCATTTTCTTACGCTCCGCGTCTTTATCGCGGAATCCGTAATTAATAACCGCCCCAAAACCGTGCACTGGTTTCTTAGGCTTATCTCTGGACGAACGCCGGCACTTCGGGGAGATGAGATGTTCGTGTTCGGGACACTGAGTCGCAAACGAATGATTTAACCCTTAGTCCTGTGTCCAGTCAGACTCGTCTGTGAAGGGGTTAATTTTTCGCGGACGAAGATTCTTTCGAATATACAGAATCTTCGGCAGATACAGCTAAATTACACACCAGTTGCTTAAATAATAGAAAAGAAGGAAAACTGCGTGCTGACCTGTTCGAGTTACTAAAACATTTGCTTACATAGTTTTTGGAATATGAAAAGTTGTTGCACTGGGCACTGGTATGTTGAGAATATTTTTATTGAAAGAGCTCGATGAATCGATTGAACTGCCAGGGCTGACAGCAAAGGGACTGTTCCACTGATCAATGGAAGAGGACAGTCTATTTCCTTAACCACTGTGGTTTATTTCACTGATTTGTCAACTGTGATCGATGCAGTTAGTTCGTCGTTAATGATTTATTGGAGAAAAGAGGAAACCGAGGAATATTTGTTTGCAATATTTACCAGCCGTTTTCATCTTGTTATAAGGGGTTATTCGTTTGACAAAATGATTAAATCCGCGAACTGAAGAGTAACAAAATTTGATTAAATTTTTTAGTAGAACGGTACACCTTAGATCAGACTATTCTGAGGCCGAGATCGTCTGGCCGAGATAAAGACGAATCTACTGTACAGTAGATTACGTCTCTGCGTCAGACACGGCGAGAAGTTGGCTCCGTCTGATCGCGATGTGGATCAATCTACTGTACAGTGAATCTGTCGCGGAACTGACCTCTACTTTTATTGCCTTCACCATTTGATTCCAACACTACTACCGTGCCGATCGAAATCACATTTTAGATTTCTCTTAGAATTTTCGAAAAGGTACGCTAGCCATTTTCCGCTGTACCTTCTCAAAAATTGATCCACCAATATGCATTCCAAAGCATGTATCAATCGAGATTCGAACTGGTGAATTTTTATAATTCATGACGTCCATCGAAACTTCGCGTTTCAATCGATACTCACTTTTTACCAGCGCATAGTATACTTACCCAGAATATACAGCGACGATCGCCAGTTTGTCAGCTGCAATGGATGGATGATCGGTTGCAGATTGCACCGGAAGCTACAGTTTATGACGTTGCATTAGCGCCGGCCCGTGAAATTGCGTTTCGCTGTGTCAAACTCGAAACGCGACCCAGCTCGGCCGATCGATCGATCAAAGATCCCCGATCGGTTGTCGCCTGAGCCATTAGCGCACGCGTCCGTTCCGAAGTAAAATTATCTCCAGTCGATACTGACTTCAGAGCGACTGCGACTCGGACAATGTTGAATTTTCAGGAACGCTGTCAAGATAATTTTGCTGTCGACTGGACACCTAGCTTAGCTCGGCGGCCGATTTGCATTTAGGGTTGACTGCGCCGTGAAAGTTCTCGGATCGGTTCGGTCGCTTAACCAGTTCACTGTTCGACGAGTTTCGAAACCCAAAATGATACTAACTTAATCAACGATCATTCGTTTCTTCCGGTAAACAGGAAACATAAGTATCCAGGAACAAGTCACTGATATCTAGTGACTAGTCGCTCGAATTGTTTGGACCTAGAGAATGTTGCACTGAAAGACATCCAAACAATTCTTAATTTTCACTCTCCTGAAATTCGTAGTGACTCGCTTCTCGCCACTTCACAGTTGCATATAAAAATTGACGAGTAATTTGAAAGTGAATAAGTCGATAGGTCGATAAGTAATTCACCCGAAAGTCACTAAGTAATAGACCTGATAGCGAAATTTTACCACTAGGTTTACGGAACGCGTCAATTCGACGCATATCAAATGTTGCAAATATTAGTAAATGCTTATGTCGATTTTTATCGATGCGATAAGTCAAATGTGTATTTTAACTGTCTAATCTTCAAACCTTTCAGTTCGAAAATGGAAATTAATGAATACGAAGTTCTAAGACCAATAAAATAAACTGTATAATAAATGTCCGTAATCCTAGCATTAATGAAACGAAGTCAGTAAGCGATCGTTGGTGGTACTATTACGTTGGGTCTCGAGGCGACGCGTGCTCGTCGGACGCAGTTGATCGATTAATCTTCCCCCGGTGGTCCTAGCGAGGCAACGAAACGGAAAGCGCGTTCGACGGAAGTCGATGCGGCTGATTCCTTTTGCCGGGAATTACGCGGACAGGTGATTTATTTCCGTTGCAAACACCTTTCTCCCCGGTGAATCGAGGGAGAAGAGAGAGAGGTCGCGCGGACGAATTACGCGTGTGCCTGTCGAGTAATCCGCGACTCGGTTTCGTCGGTTCGCAGGTGAGCGATAGGGACACGCTGACGTCGGTGGCCGCGAGGTTCGACACGACGCCGTCGGAGCTGAGCAAATTGAACAGGCTCGGAAGTACTTTCATTTATCCCGGTCAGCAGTTATGGGTACCGGCGAAAGGAGAAGGTCGACAAGGAGGCGGAACCACCGCGGACGCGCCCAGTCCGGATCCGTGCCACGACCACGAGTCCCAGGATGACCTACCTCCCGAGGAAAAAGGTGAGTTCTTTCCTTCGATCGTCTGATTCATTGTCGGGAATATTGTTATCATTGCTGTTTTAACCCTTTGCGCTCGGAAGCTTTTCAATGGAGATACTCAACATTTCCTGACGAGATATAGTTTGAAACTAATTTAACGATAATTCATAGGTAAATTAAGCGACGAAGGAGTTATGTCAATATTTCACGTAGCAGTGCAAAGTTCCATTTGAAATATTAAATATTCAACTTAGCTTTGTTGTGTCGAATCAAGTGGTGAGAGACCTCTCGAGTGCAAAGGGTTAACCCTTAACGAATCGGTGTTTCAAGTTTGTTTATCACGAAAATCACTGGAACATAGATAAGTGGAAACAAGTGATCTAGCACGACACTTAATGTATTCGTTGTAAATATTACAATAACAGCGTTGAGGGTTAATATTACTGTGACAATATGAATACTAGTGTTAACATTACTCTGATAATAATATTGATACTAACATTAATTCTACTATTCAACAATCAATGTTTCCTACATTCTCTACAGTACTCTTCTCGACACTAAGTTCATTTATTTCGCAGTTTATTCCATTATTCCCAGAAAATCGATGATCATTTAGACCTTCGTAGCTATCAGTACTAGATACTTATGATTACTTGACCGAATACTTGGTTACTCACGATTACTCGATTACTTAACTAAAGTTAAGGCAGATACATCATGGAACATTTTACGTTTCCATCGTAATTAGTTGGACATAACTGTCGCGTGAAGGATGTTTCACAATGCCCACTGTGCAAAATCTTCATTATCAACGTTGCACGGCATTCAACGTTGCCACGGCCGCTCCCTCGTGGTTTCCTGACGACAATCGTCGCAAACGTTGCGTGATATTCGACGGATTCGTGTCGGCGCCCAACTAACGCAGCCCGCTCCGCTTCGATCTTTTTTCTTCTCGAAACGGCGATAATGAAGTCGACTGCGTTGCAACCGTGTCCCTGCCTGCGTGGACGGAGTCTGTAATCAGTCTTTTATCGGCGAACGTTGAGAGTACTCGAGTCGAGTACCGCAGGCCTTTGATTTATTCGAATGCTCCCCGTGATCCAGATACTTGAACGTCTCGAGCACTTCGATCCACTCTCCATAGGAGCTCAGATATTTTCGATATTAAATATGAATATTTCAAATGCTTCGGATACTCGAATACTTCCGATTAACCGAAATGCCGGCAGTTCCTACCGAGATATCGAGACGGGAATCGAACGGTACCAGCTCCGGCTACTGGGACACTTTAGATACTTCGTACTTCGAGTATTCGAGCACTTTAAATAATAGTGCACTCTGTGTACTTCAGTGTTTCTCAACTCTCTCAGCGAAGGCGTACTGAGAATACTCCATCGCAGAGTACAGAGTACTCTAACACTCAGCCCTGCGTTAGCGCGGTTCTCCTCTGCCAAGTCAAAGTGAAGTTTTCTGTTTTCTTAATTCGCCATCTGTAACGTGATAACGAATAACAATGAAATTTTGATAAAATAAACTATTTTTCAAAATCAGAAGAAATTTTCACTAAATATTTAAATGAAACGTCCGTTAGTCAACGCTGCCGTTTAACACGGTGTCTCCCATCACTCGGACGATTCGTTATTAGCCGTCGAGCCGTCTTGCTGCACGGCCGCCATAAACCGAAAGCAAAATTAACGTGTGGCCACGTATCCGCCTATGAATAATGGAACAGGTGGGCGGCGCGGCGCGTTCAGGTGAATCGGATTGACTCACCTGGCCAAATATCGAGATGAATCGGGTCTCGATTATATCTGGCCGAGTGTCGCGTCGAATATTAATCGCTCGGACGTCCATTACACGTACACGCGCCCGACGGATACAGGATGTTTCAAATGTACACCTCGCGACCGCTACGTAAACCAATAACGAAAAAGCTGCAGCTGAACTTCCGTAAGCACTTTGACTGCTGCGTCACCCTAATTTGAGTAACGGCATTTCTACGCGAACTTTAACCCTTGGCACTCCAGGTTGTTTTGTAATCTATCAGCAACTGCAACTAAATTTCATAGTATTCCCAGTGAAAATGAGAAATAACATTTCGTCGATCTTTTATTTTCCTTAGTACAAAATTCGGATGTGCAGAAAATCGAGTAATTTTAGTCTATTTTCTTTGAGACTCATTAAAATATTTAATATTATAACTGGTGCAGTATTGGAGCTCACAGAGTTTAAAGAGTTAACATTCACTTCCTCGGATGTAGATGTAAGACAGATAGAGTAATCGTTACGAGGAATCTCGACTTCCTAGTTCCTTTTATTAAGAAACCTGTTTCGAATAAGCGTTGAACACTCGGTTCTACCGAGTCGCGAAGAGAAAATCGCGTGTAGGCTGTTCCAAAGATATTCCACGTGATTATATTGAGAAAGCGTAAGATCGCGAAATTCACCCTGACCTTGGAAACAGGGGTTAACATTTGTTCTAGCACCGTGTTCTATTCACTGCGCAGGTGAATGGTCCGAAAGGAACCGAGCGTCGGAAACGAGAAGTCTGCTTATGAATTGCCGTTGAAGTTCCCATGGGAGAATTTTTTGAAAGAGCGGTCGTGTACTTTTAAAACACCCTGTACCGTCCGGTCGCAAGCTGTTACGCTGAAGCCTTCGGAACACATTCCAACCGGCGCTAACGGCGATGCCATAATATTGTCCCGACCGCGAGATTTCCCGCAATAAAGCGTCAGCGAATTCCGTCGGTGGCGTAATGCGCTTTTACGTTCACATAAGAATTGTTTTTCTTTTTTCTCTCTCTCTCTCTCTATTTTCGTTACCTTCACCCAGTTAGAGGCTATAGCTGCTCCGCGTGGCGTTGCGCATAGGGGAACTGAATGTTCAAAGTTTCGGTGGACTCGAACGGTAATGATAGGGAATTATAATTATGGTGATAATGATGATTAAATTATTTATCGTTTGGAACGAACAAACTAGTGTCGTGAAGTGTCGCAAAGCTTTTGTTAGGTGCGCATGGAGAAACTGGGACGTTGAAAATTTCGGTGGATTCAAAGAATAATGATAAAGAATTATAATTATGGTGATAATGATGACTAAATTATTTACCGTTTGAAATCAACAAACTAGTGTCGTTAATGTCGCGAAGCTTTTGTTAGATGCGCATTGCATAGAGGAACTGGAACGTTAAAAATTTCGGCGAATTCAAAGAATAATGACAGAATTATAATTACGGTGATAATGATGATTAAATTATTTACCATTTGGAACGAAGAAACGAGTATCCTGAAGTGTCGAAAAGTTTCAGCATCCTTCCGTTAGATGGCGCCACGTGGCAGACGTGGATTAATTAATTCGCAGTGAATTAATTCTTTAGAAATTAATTCCTGAAAAACCACGGTCGGATAAGGCTGTTAAACGAGCGAAGCGAGTATTCATGAAGAAAGAATGATCACGAGGGGTTTATGTAACGCTGTTCTAGCAACCGTACGCGATCGTGACACGTGCAGGAGAAGCTAGGATCGATTCCCCGGAAGGTCCATGTGTCTCCGTGTCTGTCCCCCTTCGACCCGTGTGCATCCATTTCTTCCTGTCTCGCTTCATGACCTATACCCAGCGCAGTTTTGACAGGCGGTTTAATCGATAGGCACGATTTAACCCAGTTGGATTATCCCTTGCATCCCTCGGTTTCGGCGCCTATGCATAACCTAAATGTTTCCCTCGTTTTTAATAAAAATATTTTATTTCATTCGATCGACATTCTGTATACCAAGACAGAAAATAATTTTATAGGTTGATTGATTCGATTACCAACATGATTATTAACACGTTTATTTTTTTATTCCACGAAAACGGATTTCGAGTATGGTCCTAGCAAAATGGTTATGGGGTCGCCATATTTTTCTTTATGGGAAGGACGTATAAGTGGTTCTAAACGAAACGTATGGCTGCGGTGTAATATAAAGTCATGAGTTGTAGAAAATTTGTTCGTTTTATGACTTGATACCGTACTTTTTATGCACTGTTCTTTTGTGGCTTTTTGTATATATATGCATATATTATGATGCGTCAGCTGATCGGCACACGATGTAAACTTGCGGTGGTCAATATGGCGTCGGTCTGTATATAAAACATAACCAGTGTGCACGCGATGAAAGTTGGTTTAACGTCAGACGGGGCACGAATGTCGTCGTTATGCATTCATTCGGTATTCCTGTCGAATTCGGTGCTGTTACCTAGGAATTCGATTACGTAACATAAGCTCGGTCAATTTGAATATAAAAAGCTCCAGCTGTATTAATAATTCATGAAAAAATATATTCCCAGTGGCTGTTGTTTTATTTAACATGGGTATGTTGTAGTTTGGATTTGTACGGATAATACAGAATGACACTGAATCGATCCAATATTAATGTTCTGCGTTGTAATTTACAGAGCTCTTGGATAACTTGAGGCCTGTGTCACCTAAACCGGGCCATATGGAAAGAGTGAAAACACCTCTTAGTATTTCAACTGCGGTTATAGAGGAAGAGGAGCAACCATTCAAGGAGAGATTTTTGAAAATTGATGTTCGCCATATCACGGATGGTCAGGTAAAGATAATGCATTATTTAATTTATGTACACCTTGCCCAGTAATCGTTGCTGTTAATATTTAAATCAGTTGTTGTGCATACGAATAAACAATTGGTTATTAATGATGCTTCAATTGACTAATTCTATGATTCCATTATTTATGTGCAGGGTGTCGTTAGTGGAGTATTATTAGTTACACCAAATGCAGTGATGTTTGATCCTAATGTCTCGCATCGACTTGTGATTGAGCATGGGGCTGAATCTTACGGTGTGATTGCACCAATGGAATTCATAGTGAATGCTGCAATTTACTATGACATTGCACACATGCGTGCTTCACACAGGGAGCCTGGAGCCTTAGAGAAAAAACCAGAAATTTATTACATGAAGAAACCTACTCAAAATGAGAAATGTCAATCGCCGGAGAAAGACGAAAATTTCCCGGAGTTAACTACCGATGACAATGAGAGTGTATGCAGCTGTGCAGAAAGAGATGGAGACGCTTTTCCAAAGGCCTTCGAGAGAGATCTCGTGACCCCTACTAATCTTCAAAGTGTATGTTGATCATAAGTACATTTTTACTTTACCGACAGTCAGTCCAATTGCGGCGGTTGTTGAATAAAGATGATCTGACTTATTGTGTGCAGGAAGATAATACAACGACAACCAAAGAAAAAGAAGAGGAGAAAGAGACTAAAGAAGCCTGTGATGGTAGCCAAGTAATTAGGACATTAGAGGAACGCCGACGTTCTATGCTTGATCATCATTGGGCAGTTCCCAGTAAGGATCGATGTACGTTGTCAATTGAAGATGATCAACAGGATTCATTAAATTCTGACAAGGTTGGTTTTCGTTGTGTTATAACGGAATTAAGTTCATTTTCATCGACATTGAAACGAATGTAATCATTTTCAGACGGACACCGCGAAAACGAAGCCGAATGCCGAAGATGAAGAAGGATCTCTAGTCAAATTGTCATGCCACGACTCTGGTATTGACATTCGTGACCCTAATCCCCCTTTCCCAGTAGTTCTGCCTATCCCCTCAAAGAAAGTATACTCAGACGCAGATATTGTCTTATCTTCAGATTGGGTACCTCCTATTACTATTGCCCCGACGAACGTTACAACTGATACTCTAGACAGTGGTTCTGCCATTAATGGTAGAAAAAAGGCGAGTTCGGTATCTTTTAGCTTAGACAGTAATGCGGAGGAACCCGAGAAAGATGATGAACACAAGGATGACGACAAACAGGAGACTCGTAGGAATAAGGTACCAACCGAATCGATACTTTCAATGGTTCTCCTGTTAATGGTTTCCAATCTTTATCGATACCGTGATTTCTGAAATTCTGTTCTGTTTCAGATGTTAAAGAGATTGTCATATCCATTATCGTGGATGGAAGGATTAACTGGTGAGAAAGAGGATGAAAATAAATCTGGATCTGATAAAGTTGGAAGCTTACCTAACAGCGCGGATTCTCATCATTCTTCCGTCTTCAGTAAAGTCTTTTCAAGGTGATAATCTCAGCTAGTTTTACATCATAGAATAATCTTTACTAATACTTCTTTTGTTTTTTTTAAATAATCTACGTGGTACTAACATTTTTCTCAGATTGGTAATACGCTTCTGTGTTTCACTTTTTTTCTGTTCACCCGTGTCAAGAATGAGTAACGATTGTTCATAACCGAACATTAGCATTTCTCATGTACAGGAAAGATTAATACCGATGCTCGGCCCTTCTTTTACATGCCGTATACATTTTAATTTCTTTTTTTTATCACGTGCGTTACCGCTTTCTGCTGAACTTATCTAGAACATTTAACATAGTTACGGTGTCAGAGGCTGTTCATAATGAAACTGAATGTTCAACGCTACCCTTTCATGTTACTAACACTTCTATCAATTCGATATACATGTTTTACTATGAATGCCCTGATTGATTATAATATATATATATAGAATATTTATTAGTTACTTGCGCATAGAAACGAGCGGCTTATTGCATTTGCGATACGCGTTTGAAATACTGTTAGTTTTTTTTATCATTCACGGAAGGAGTAAACTAACCAAGGAAACGCGAGACTTCCAGTGAAGTCCAGTAATGAAATTATCCTCAATAACATTGTACCATCATAATCTGTTCTCTCGTGGAATTGCTTGCAAAGAAAGTACTACTCTCTTGCACAGAGTGATTCATAAAATGTGATCATAGCCCTACGAAATTCATGAAAAATATTCCCGTTTTCTCCTGACTATAGAAATTACTTCATCCACGTTTTATGAATGCACCCACTGTGACACGATGAATCGAAGTAGTAAAGGGTATATTTTTAGTCGGACTGTGATGGTAAATCTGTGTGTTTAATTAAAAGCTTTACTGTCGTTTCTAATGTAACTAACAAAGAATATGTAATGGTGGTGGATATAAGCTCGCCGATCAACCTGGTGAGTGACTTTAGCTCGGGCCTGTTTGCTAAAACTCCCAGCGAAGAGAGTGGTGGGGGCGGTAGGACTGGAGGGACACCTCCTCTTACCGCCTCCTCTCTCTCCCAGGACTCCGGCAATCCTCAGTTTTCACCTGGTCCAGGAGGGCTTATGGGGTGAGTTTGGGCCCGATTCCATCAACCAGCAAATTGTTGTACTTACTATTCTCTCAGCCTCCTATTCTTCTGATCCCACCGTTCTTCCAATGTTTATCATTGATTGGATCCCCGTATCTACCATTTACAAATGTTCAGTTAGCTCTCTAGTTTCTCTGTGTTACACGTATTACTCCAACTCCCCCCCAGCCGTATTTTAAGTTCGCCCTCTCTTACAGCCTGACCTAACTTCCCATAGACTATCCCCCGAGTTTCTACAACCGATCGTTCTACTTTCAAGCTTCACACTCACCCCTTATTTCGCTACTCGATCCTTATGTTTCTTTGAGCCTTTCACAGGCTTCAGGCCAGCTCTCTTTGCTCCTGCTTTCAGGTAAACGTTACTGACTTTTTCAGAAACTCTGCCCACCACGACCGATCTCCTCGTGACACTGTTGCCAACATATGTTTATACATTTATACAAATATATATATATTTATATATATATACATACATATAATATATATAAAGTATATTAAATACCGCTTACAAACAACACATCACCACCAGATATATCGAACACAGCGTTGTTTTTAGTACAAATAAAACCCCGAGCAGCCACCCAAACTTTATTTCGCCGTACATGCGTTGGACGATACGATGTTTATCTTTTTGAATGTGTCATCCCCACCCCCCACGAGTTCGATGTTCTTTACTATTTATGTGTTGCAACACGATCGCCGCTTCGAAATTACGGGGATTTCCGGTGCTAGGTGTGCCCGTAGTTTCGAACGCGCCCAGTTACTCGTAACCCATGCCTATTAGTCATTTCGTTTACGATTTCCTTTCAGACGGTCTTCCGTTGGCACGTTCATCAGACAACAGCCGTTAACCTCCTCGGGCAGCAGCAGCGTGGACAGCAGTCGGGGTAGCAAAACTTCGACCGCCGCGCCGAGATTGGACTACCGTAGCATGGTCTCTGTCGAGGACATGCCCGAGTTGTTCGTCAGTTTCGACAGTAGGTGTCCGGGCCCGTCGGTCTCGCTTTGATTACCACATATTTTACATACTCTGCGTTACGGAATGATTGATACAATGATCGTGGACACGTACAGGCTCCCTTTACTTCAAATACATTTTCTCTTGCACTGGGTGATCCACTAACCCTGGAAGAACGCTTCGAATCAGAATTGCTAACCTCGTCCGTAGCAATCATTTGGGTGCATTAATACGTAAACAGTTTTGGTAAGGGATGCTTAATTCACTTGGTTGGATGCTTTCTGTTAGGGCTAGTTCTTTTGGAGTTGAGAGTCAATTATTGAATTGAATATAATGACCGATTGAAACAGGCGATGGATTTAAAGGAGAACGAGCTACTCAGAGTTCCTCCAGTTCCAAAATTGGAACACCCAGTGCATCGAACATTTCTTAGATGGCGTATTTTCTGTGCATGGGACTGGTATCACACTTGATCAAAAGAAAACCGTACAATTACAAAGTAGACCGAGGGAAGGTCGGATCTACAGGGTAACGGAAAGTATTTCAAAATTGTAACTGTGATTTTCAGTTAAAGTCGAGGCGTGAAATAATTTCTGGCGGTACGAAATTCTTCTTGGATTTCTCTGTCGAATCAAACGACTAAGCATTCGCTGTCCACTGACTAGTAGCAGGGAAATATTCATTTCAAGCACTCACTGTTTCAATGATCGCCCAGTATACATGAAACACGCCACCGTGGTAACGAGTGTTCGCTCAGAAGGGATCGATACGATACTGTAATGAATTACACGTAGCCACGAGTACATAAAAGAGAAAGGAAAACGAAATGGCAATAAAGATGGCAAACGGGAATATTACATATCACGCACTGCACTCGCTCGTATGTATAGACGGCTTCTTAAACAATTTGTTACTTTGCTAGTGCATTTATCTGTCCCTTTCTTCGAATATTTGAGCGCCTTTGGATTCGATCTCGCTGCTACAAGATATAACGAACATTCTCTGATGGAACAAAAAAGGGAAGGAAAAACTATATACACGAATACCAACGAATCCCTGACCAAATGCGCTTGGCGTTTTTTACTATATGTTAACGTAGTCTGAATATTTTCTATATTTTTAAATTTCGCTCGTTTGTCATTACTATACTGCGGATTTTATCAGTTCACGGTTAGCCGTCAGGTTTCGTTATCGAACGTTCGACAAATCATCTTATCTCTCGAGGTAGTAAAACCTTTCGTAAAAAGTAATTGATCTCCGTTTCATCGTAGTCGTCGATGATCGCAGCGACTGAGCGAAATGAAATCCGCGGTCTAGTCATTACCAGTTCTACATTTTTATCGAATTTAATCTATTGTTACTTTTATCCACGCTGTTCCACGGGTTCGAGTGGCCTCGCTTTGAGCGTTTGTCGACACTGAACCGGGGAACAGACTTTTTGCTCATGATCTCTTGGCTTGAACTCCGTGGTCTCGGTAGACACCCGGAGTCCAGGCCTAGTATTCTTCATTATCAATCTCATTGTCGTTAAATTAAGGCGGAGACGTTATCTCCAAGAATTTAGAAACCTCTTGCGTTTCCTTGTGATCCTTTTAACGATCAAGTCTGATGATCTCTCCAGTTGTCTAACAACTACTTTAACGGCTGAACGCAAAAGGTTTCGATCGTTAGTCTGCCGACGATTATTCATACTAATGCAGTAATGTCATATGTTTTTGTTGTCCCTCTAGTCCAAGCACCTAATTTTCCCGAACTCGAAGGCCTCGGTAGGTTCATACTGTATTAGCTTGCTTATTTTCTACCCCTCGTGTATCACCTCCTCGCTAGAGCTCGTCCATCGTCATTGGTTCCCACGTGTACTTGAAGGTAAACGGCGTCACGAGATAATGAGCACATAAACAGACTATAAGGAGAACAATCTTCAAGTAGGACAGTCTTCAAAGCATTTGTAGAATTAATCTCTCAAGAAGAGAAACCTTGTTTCTTATTTCATCTGTCACTTCCATGGTTCTTCAGGTTTTCATTGTTGATCCTCGCTAGTTGTAAGCTACCGTCTTGCCAGTATGGCGGTGTCTCTGATTCAACCGTTGGATTTACTATGGATCTTCTATGATGAATTGACCCTGAGGAGAAAGAAGACCGGGCGGGATAAGGAGGAATGCTGCTCTCTTATCTCCCGGTCGCTGCATGCACTCCATTCGGTTCAGTTCATTATCCGGCACGATGAATTACTCGGCGCGTCGTTACCTTCAAGCATGCATTCTTTCTGTTCGTTTATCATGTGATCGACGGAACTGTTCCTTACCACCTTGCGTACGACTTTGCCGTTGCACCTGCACATTATGTATTTTATCTGTTTATGTATTGGTATACCTGCTGCTGACTATATACTGGTCGTCGAATTCGAGCACTCGCCACAACACTGTCGTCACCCGATTACACTATTCTCTTCCGTGTACTTACCTTCTGCGATGATGTTGTTTTTGTACGCTGTGCGACTTGGAATTGTCCGTGAGAAAAGTCGAGGCTTCTTGTCTTCGTTGTCTTCTTTTTTCTCGGTATACTGGCTTGAAACAGTGAAACGTCAATGAATATTGTTAACCGCGGAGTCGCAATGTCGACCCGTGTGTCGCGATCATCTTTCCGCCCTTTGCTCCACCTTAAGCCACGCCCCTCGCGTCCCATTGGCCAACAGCTGCCGAGAAAAAGGAAAAAACGCCTCCGCCTCTTCCGTGATCCGAAATCCATGCCACACGCCGTACCCCCGTACTATTTTTTGTGTTTGTGCGTCCGTGGCGATGAACTCCTCCAAATAACAACTCCGAATGTAACGCTTGAACTTTGTGGTACTCTACGGAGGAAGCTTCTTACCAATTGTGTTTCTTTTTTTTTTACCCCCATTTTGTTCCGGTAATCGAGTCTGCGAGGAGATCCCATCTCCGGATTATTCGATATTGTATAGAATGAGACTTTGGCCGAATTTGGAAATGCGTTGTCGCGTGTTTGAAGTCACTTTTGTGAAACAGTTGAATCGTACGTCGGGTAAAAGAAACATGTAAACGAAACGGAATCGGTGGGCGTGCACTATATTCAATTGTTCTGTCGAATTATGTAGAGCTTATACCACGACCAGCCCGTTCCTGCGACGATCCGCCATTGTACCTGAGACTGCGAACCGGAAGACCGAAGGACAAGAAGATTCCTCGGTCCACGCCCATCATGAGCTACGGCAAGAAGAAACTGCGCCCCGAGTATTGGTTCAGCGTGCCCCGCGACAGGTGAGTACAAACTTCATCTTTTCCACCCTACTTTCTATCCGTTAAATTCGGCGGGTAACACAATTTCTTTATGAAATGAACAAATGGGCGTGGCCAGCAAATGACGTATACAACACTGGGCGTGGCTATCGAGTTTCGGTGGGACAATGGGCGTGGTTACCGATTGACTAAGGAAACAAACCTTTAATTTCATTAACTACATAAAACTAGTCCAATTTACATCGTGTTTGGACTCATTTCAATCGCAGCAATCTCAACGAGTCTCTGGCACTACGTTTCAAAGAGTAAGATCGAAATTAATGAAACTGCCTTTATCATGTTTATACTCGACTGTCTCGTTTCTTCTCATTCCACCGATTCTCCGACTTCGTCAAACCATGTTCCGCGTTTGCTCGTCGCAGTTGCCCTTCAGTTGACGTAGAAGCGAACACCGTCTGCGAACAGTACACGCACAGCGCGCGTTTCCACGGGTGCACGCGAACCGAGCACGCTGTCACGTGACTGCGAAGTCGGCGCGTGATCGCCGAGAACGCGTGTGTTCGCTTGTGCGCGCCGCTTTTCCGTTCCGTGGCCGGCGAACGCGGCGTGTGTTAGTCTGCCCGCGGTAAGAAAACGCGACGGCGGCGCGCGCGCACGCCCCCATGCCTACGAATATCCGATTGGACCCACGTTTCCCGACGAAAACCGCGTGTCAGTGCACCCGTGTCAGTGTATTAATAGTCAGCCGATATTCCGCGCCGATCGCCGCGGCCTGTTCGTCCGTCCCCGTTGAACTAATGACCCGAACGACCACCTGTCGGCCCGTCACGTGCCCCGAGATTAGGTAACGGGATCTGTCAGCGGCCAGACCGTCGCGCTGGCTAATGTCATCCACGTGTTGCCCCCTCGAAAGATGGAAACGCTTTTCCCCGTGATTTATTCGACAAGTTGATCGCCACTTTGTTATTAATAGTCCGTTGGGAGGAATGACGAGTATTGTAGGCATATTCTAGATTCATGTTTGCTCTGATGCGTCGCTGATAACAACAGAGTAATTTAATTTGAACGTTTGGAAGTTTCGCTTGGCTTTCAATTGTAAATTTCATTTGAATTTGAATCGATTTGAATGGATTTGAATGAATTTGAATGAATTTAAATTGAATTTGAATTGAATTTGAATTTAATTTGAATAAGATTTCATTTGGTTCGAATGTTCTACCACGACCATGTTATTGTAAGACAAGGGGTTAACCGAGGCATTTTTTATGTTGACCATGCTGAAGCTTAGTAATTCTTAGATGACACTTTAGAATCTATAGGATCGAATTTCGAAATAAAATTTCCCGAAGACAATCTGCTAAACAGCTGCATACGGTAGCTACATTAGCAAACAAGTTACACTTTCAATACATAACGCGTTCCTTTTAAAAGGAAACTCAGTAATTAAATTATCGTTCGCTGCACCGCTAAAGATCATCTCGGAAACCTCCAACCCTAAGAAACTTCAACGGGTTTCGAGAGCAACGAATTCCCACTGTTCGTCGATCAGATAAATTTCAATATCTTATCGCTCGCATCGCGGATACACGAAACTGTTTACTCGCCGAAAGGTTTCGATTAGGTTAATAGGAGTCCATTATCTCGCCTCGCGCGCACCACGAAAAGGAAAAAAAATTCCGTGCCTGTTTCATTTAATAATCGGTTGTGCAACATTTCAACGTTACCGTGCAACCCGCTGTTTAGTCTCGCGGCTGATTGTAGAAAAACTGTTGCGCAGAAACTTCGCAGTCTATTATCGGTTTACCAATCGTGAATTTTATACACATTGTAAGCTTCGCGTTCTTATCCTGAGATCTTAACCCTTTGTGCATCATAATTGTAAACCGGAAACTTCAATTTTCAATTTTAATTTATGCGATGTTTCCTTTCTACGTTAGTCGCAAATATTTATAATGAAAGGTACTTATTGTCGAACGGAAAAGTCTGAACGTTCAAAGAAAGGAGACAAAAGAGCAGCAGTTCATACGTATTTTTTCATTGTGTCATTCCTATTTCGACTCCTATTACGCAGCGCAACTTCCGGATCGCACTTCCACAGAAGTAGCTCGCGCATGATAAACGACAGACCGCAGAATGAACGCTTTTGATAACAAGCGAATGATAATGAGATTGCTGACGCGCGACAAACATTCGCGACAGATAAAGCATTTTGATGAACACCGTGGAAGGTCGCCAGGAAAGAACTTCGGTTCTACAATGACAACGCTAATAACACTTTTCAAATGCAAACACTTTTTTACAAAAATTCTGAAACCCTTCACGTGGTTAGAAACGATAAACTGATCTATAATTAACGTCCGAAGTAGTTACGCGGACACTCGGTATGCACATTTACATTGCATAATGGACTGCTCGAAAAACATTTAATTACCGATTTACATTCGAGATTTATTTCAGTAGCACTCGTACGTTCACTTTGCTATCTATTCGCCGACTTAATTTCATAAAGTGTCTGTCCGTGACCGACCATATCTACTTAAGAAAGTGGATTCGTCTGTATCAAATTTTATTCCACGCTTTCCTTTTGAATTAGTAATTACTTTTAATTAAACACGTAATACACCTCTTTGCGATAAAACTTGATTTCCTTCGATGTTTCAACATCTATGTAGAACTCGATTTCCAAAGGGCGAATTTCAAGTGCGAAGCCTATACAGTGAATTTTCAAAAATAATCCACCGAGACTGACAAGTGCACGAGCAGGCGTGTCACGGATCCACCGGCAATAATGATCGCGCGTTGCAAAGGGAAAAAATCGGTTTAGTAATTCGCACGTGACGGGCAGCGGCCGACGTTTACGTCAGTTTAGGTAATCGTGGCAGCTACAGTCAGAGTTCCTCCGTGACTCATTTCGCTAATGCCTCCCAGTCAACTGGCGCGACTCTAACAAGTGCCACGTTTGGATTCGCCGCGTTGCGTCAGAGTGTTGTGGATAGTTTCGTCCGCGGCCGGACTAGTTCGAACGTTGTCGTTCTTATTAACGATCGAACCATCGATCACCGTGAAGCTCGCGCTGCGCCGATAGGGGCCCGGCTAAACGAGATAAAAAAATTCCGGTTCGCTCGTACATTGTTCGAACCGTAAATAGATCGCGGATAGTTATATTTCCTCGTTGGCTTAGGTCCACGAATACTTCGTCGCCATAAAAATAGTTCGATACGTTAAAAATACTTTGCGTCGGACATACCCGATTAACGCGAGTTTCATTATCTGCTTACCTGGAAGATAATATCTTCGATCGACGATTATTCTAATAATAATAAGCGAGTAACGCGTTTCCCGCGAGGATACGAAATTAATTCAATTCCTTCGCTCCGCTGAGCTCCGCGAGCGTTTCTGCAAGTATAATTCGAATTTTATTGAACCCGGCTCGTATTTTCATTTGGTCGTTGTTACGCGAACCCGCGTAAGCGATAAAACGCGTGAAATATCGCTTAGGCGATAAGTAAATTGAACGTCATCTAAAAACGAATGCATAACGCTCGATTTCAGGGTCAGTGGTCTGAGAATTCTCATCCGCAGTTTATAAAGCTGAGTTCGCATCGTCTGTAATCTACAAATCCACGGACGTCCACAATTATCCGTGATCTATGAATAAACAGTTCCCATAACCGTCCGTGATCTATAAATCTGAACTACGAGTTCTCGCGATTTCTATCATTCGTAAGTCAGTCGATCGTCCTAATTACCCGTGACCTGATCTACGAAATCTTACCATCCGTGCTCCATAGATCGATAGATCCACGGACCGTAAATCGACGAACCGAAACGCACCGGGGAGTTTAGAAGGAATACTGGAGTTTCGGATGCCCGTTTCTAATTTTACCCGTTCGGCGGCTCTGGTTATCGTCCGAACTGCACCGTGAACGGCTTAAAAATAGTCGGTAGCCCGCCAAGCCCGGGAGGAACGGGATCAACGCGATCGTAGGCCTGTCAAGTAGGAAACGTCCTTGCAGGGTCTCCGACACGCGCGAGTGAGACAGAACGCGGCCGTAGAAAGTGAATTTCCGTCGTTTTCCTGTGCGCGCGCGCGCGCTGGCGAACGTACATCGACGTGCACCGTGAACAGAGAACACAGATAACAAACATGAATTGGACGCTGAGCGGGCTGAGCAACGCGGTGAACTTTGTTTACAATGAACACGTGTCGCCGGCGGTCGGACACGTTCTGCCCTTTGTCCATCAAAGGTACCTTATTATTCAAACATATCCGTGCAGCGTGTTCAATTATTTCCGAAACTTTGCTGGTGCTTATTTTATGCAAGTCTTGCCGACAGTTTTGTGTATTGTCTGTATCTTTATAGAAAAAACAACCCTTTGCGGACGAATGATACTCCGTAGAGATGAGATTTTCATATTTTGAAGACTAAGTCACAAAAGAGTGATTTAATTGAATGACAAGAGTACGTAGTTTCCTTTCGTTCTGTCAATTATACAATTGATCAAAGAATCTTCGTCCGCAAAGGGTTAAAGTCCATCGAACGCTTGAACTATCAATTTGAACAAAACGAACTGCAGTCAAAATCATCTCTCTATTCTAAAGAATGAAAATTTGACCCTGGAAAGGTTAATTATCCGCGCGCACCCGACACGGACGAACGAGTTCCATTGTCATTCACACGCGTGATTCGGTCTGGTTGTTCGCAGGGTGGACGATCTGTACAGGTTCATCCACGCGTGGGTGCCGTCGCTTTATGGGGAGCTCGACGAGGAGTACTGGAAGGAGCGCGGCTACATCCTGGTGGACACCGACACGGATCTGTCGCCGGAATTGTCGCCGCACGAGCCCGGCGAAGCCGGCGAGACCGCGGAGGACGGCAAGCCTCGCAACCAAGATGGCGACGACATCTCCGACCTGACCAGAGAATCATGGGAGGTGAGTGTTCATTTAAGATCTCGAACGGTTGAAAATCTTCCGTGTCGAACGACGCTCGTCCCATCATCGCATTCGTCACGCTTTCCTTTGTCGCTCATTGTCGTTCATTAACACTAAACGTACCGGTCAAATGACAAGTTTTAACCCTTAACGGAGGAATGACACTTGTACTTGTCGGCGACAACAATCATTTTGTTATTTTCATCGCTGTTCTTGTCGCAATATTCACAATTAACTATCTAATTAATTTTCTTTCCGCCTGTTATCCGTATTGCGGTATTTCTTCGCGGTGAAACTTGAAACACTTCCGGTCCGTTAAGGGTTAAAGTTTGGTTTAGAATTCTGCGTTTTCTCGTCATTTCAGTTTATAGACGTAGAAGAGTAATCGGTTTTTCAATGGTCCTCCTCCTGTTTCTAATTCCGCTAAGAATCGATCATCTACCTTGTTCACTTTTATTTGGTAATCAGCCATTCGACCGGTCGCTTTAGACTTAGCTGTGCGAAGCGCCGATACATTTAGCGTTATCGCGCCGAAGACTCGATGAATTATAAATAGAATTGAACTGAATTAAACTCTGTTATGGCAATAGTTTGTTATGCTATAAATACTGCAACAGATAGCAATTGTAAGAATACACAATTGAATGGAACAGTAACGATCGATCTATCACCGTTCCGCCATTTTCGTATCAATGGCTGTCTCCGAGCGCCGGAAGCTCCGATATAACATGCAGTTGCTCGATAAAAATGGTAAAACGACGAAGATTGTACACAATTTTCAATTGTTATGTTATATTCTAATACAGTCAAAGAATATTAATCGAGAAATAAGAAGAATAATCAGTTAGTAGAATCTTTAGACGATTCTTCGCACGATTCTTCGGCGCGATAACGTGCCACCATAACAAATCACTCGACCACCATACAGCATACGATAGAATCGATTCGTTCGATCATCGCTCGCGCCGAATTCGCGTGTTTCATTCGAGTTTCCTCGCACTTCGCTTCGTTCCTCATCGTCATTCGGGGCCCGTCATCGTCATCGGCAGCATTCCCGCTTCGCTCATCGCATCGTGCATTCTTCAGGATCGTTCGTTCCTTTTGCTCGGCGAGCGCTAAACTTTTCCCTCATTCTCTCGCGTCCCTTCGCCCCCGAGCTTCTGTTTTTTCAAGGCCGTCGATTTTTTTCATTTTTCACACCGAGCGGAGAATAGAACAGACGATAGAGAGTAGTTGCTAGCTACGCCGTCGATCCTCGCGTCGACAAGCATTATTACCGAATTATCCGATTGGCGTGTCATTCGATTGCTAAGTCACCGAGTTATTATATTGTCAGATTACTAAATTATTCGGTGATTACCGAATCACCTAGTTAGAGAATCGTTGAATGACGCGGTTTAGTCGAAAAATACGAAACCCGCCGAGTTCCTCGACGTTCAACGACCCAATCGATAGCAAAGGATCGACGCGAGGTTCGCGCGCGCACGGATTAGCCGTTCGACGAAACACCGAAGTATTGAATCGCTAAAAACGGCCGATATTGTATTGGCTAACAGCTGATCAAGGCCCCCTACGTAAAGCTGTACAGCATCCTGAAGACGTCGAGCACGTCCGCGGATTCGGAGCAGATCCAGGACCCGGAGGTACCGAGATTATTCCCCGTTTCCATACTCCCCGACGATGATCGTTGTTTTATCACACGCACACCGGACACACACCTATCGCACAATAGTGTATTGTTCGTTGTTGATTGACGCACCCTTTTTCTAGCGCACACGCAACCCAGAAACAAGCCACACCTCGCGCGTCACTTCTCTCTTCCTCGCAGTGAAGTTGGGCGAAATTTCATTTGACCGTTTCTCATTCGATTTGAAATTCAATCAGTCCAATTAATTGACATTGTATTAGTTAAATTCATTCGAAAATCAGCCAGATTAATTGAAAGGTGACCGAGTCAAGGAAAAAATTAACATGTGACATCGATTCTTTTCAATTTCTATAATTATTACACTTCGATACAGTAGCACGGAAACCAGAATGTAAGTTAATAGCTATACATTGATATTTACAATTAACAATCGCGAATAGTAACTTCCGATCGGCGAAAAACTCGCGTTTCGATCGTCGATCTCAATGTACGATCAAATCACATTACACCCAACTCCGCGTTACACAAGAACCGCATTTCCCAGGTGCACCCGTGTACACAAATGCATCAGAGTATTTCCAGATTACTGTAACTTCGACTTACAACACGTTTTCCCACCTCTAACCTTCTCGAAGGTGCAGCTTGTTCCAACGAAATGGCACACCCTGTATCACGAACCGGCGCATTGTCACCGGCTGCGCGTTCCCTGTCTCGTTGTTGTTATTGTTATTGTCGCTGATTGATTTCCGATCGCTTTTGCCGTGCCCCGTCGACCGATCGATTCCTCGTTGGACGCTCTGTGTTTGACGCCGTGTTTAAAATTCCTTTCGGCGAAGATAACACCTGCAACGGAAGTTCACCGAACTGCATGCATGCGAGTGCGCGCCCCCTCCTCTACGCGTACGCACCGGTGGAATCGATCGTTGATCGGTAGACAGCATTTATGGGGAACTCGAGAGCGCAGCGTTGCACGGGATGCACGCGACACGAGGGAATATACGAATTATATAAACCGTAGTGTCTTTCGTGGGATTTCTTAGGAAAAACTAGATTCCGATTTCACATTTTTCTAATCGTCTTCTTGAAAATGGAATTTCTCTCGAAGTGCAACGTTTGGAAAGGTGAAAGAATAAAGAAAATAATCATGTACTGTTTCTCACTTGAATAATTCAATTATTCAAACGACAAAGATCTTAACATAACCCTTTGCACTCGAAAGTTTCTCAATGGAAATATTCAACATTTTCTGACGAGATACAGGTCATATCGTTTGAAACTAATTTATTTCAATATTTCAATTTGAAACATTAAATATTCAACTGCATAGTTTTGCTGCATCGAGTCACCTATCGAGTGCAAAGGGTTAACACCTGATTCTTTTCTACCATTCGAATCTCCGGCGAGTCAATTCCGCTTTTCATCGAAAGAATCTCCGCAAGTTTGAAAAGTCCGCGACCGCGACTAATTAATTCGTTCGTGCCCGATTAACACGAGGATAAAGCCGACGACGAACGCGGCGGTTCGTCTATATTCCGGTCCACGGAAGGTTAATGAGTCGTAAACGGCCGACGCGTGATGCCACTGTGACCGATTTATTTCCGGAAGGCCGTGGGCAAAACGCGCGCGCGTCACTCCTTCCGTTCCGCGGCTTCATTTGCCAAATAGAGGTGTTCGGGGCGGCCCGTTCTTCAACAATGAACGCGACCGGTGAATCCGGAGCTATTCTCGGCCGCGGTTTTGTTGATCTATCCGCCGGACGGATATATTTATTAGCGTCATCGGGAAACACGTTCCTCCGCGTTCCTCGGATTTTTCTCTTCCCCTTTTGCACCCTGTCGCGCTGTCTGCTCTTTAACCCTTCGCGGACGGACATCCTTTGAAATATAAAAAACCTTCGGCAGATGAAGCTGAATTAACCCCTTGCACTCGAGAGACTCCTAGTCGTCAGATGATTCGATACAGCAAAATTATAAACTTTCGTATTCACCATTAACCTTTGTATACTGCGTCGATACGTGAAATATTGAAGGAAAATAGCTTTAGTACCTAATTTACGTATGATTTCTTGTTGAATTCATTTTAAAGAATCTTGTCTACATCTAATTAGAAAGAAAACTTCAAGTGAAAAATTTTCGAAAAGGGTTCAACATCAATTGTTCAAGCGACAGAGAAGAAAGAAATATTTCATCTCGCTGAAATGTTTAAAATTTAAAAGGGATTAACACTGGAACTACCTGCATCAATCAAAATGACTGGTTTCGATTTGTTTGTTTGCGATTATGGACGTCTTGAAAACATCGAATATCCGAAATAATCTTGAAAATAAACAGTTTCACTTTTATTCTGAAAATTGTAATGTCATAATCGATCAATCGATGAATCATTTGCTTAAGTCATCGATATTAAACTACTTCGAAACAAATCTATTCCTAAGTGAAGAATTGCTGCAAGTTTAGCGAAATTTCCAAGGGAATGTAACGAATTTCGTAAAGCAAACTGCGGGGATATACAGACGAGTGACCGGTCGCTAACGCGAGGCTGGATGAGAAACGAAGTTCTCGTTGTTGCTTGAAAAAACACAAGATTCTTCGGCGGACGCAACATTTAGGTCAAACAGCCGTCGCTCAGAATCTTGTTGGCCCGTAGCGCCGGTTATCGTTCCATTTTTACGACAGAAATCATCGCGGTTTCAGTGGCTCTAACGAGAAAGAAGAAAAGAGAGTGTATACATGACAGAAGACAAGAAGCGTGCGAAGGGAACGACAACAAAAAGAGATCAGAGTGTACAGAGATTATCAGAGACGTAATCCACGGGCCGAGGAATTGGCGTCTCAAGGCCATTATCTCCGCCGTGTCACTGATTCACCCTCTCTTGTTAATTGCTCCCTCTCCCCCTCGACGGAGAAACCCGTTAAAAATAGCCCGAGCTAAAAATAGGGGATTCTGGAAGGAAATCTCAAGGATTTAGCGGGAGTACTTTACAAAGATCGCGATCCTGTTTCTACTCTAGCAAGATCAAGGCAAAGGACTGTTATCGCTGGATGCGACAAGCAAACAGAAGTCCTAATTCGTTTCTAATGTCGCGTATCGTTATCATATAAGATGAGTCAGCTGAAAAAGTTCCAGTGGCTAATTTAACACTAGAACTAACGAGCATTTAATACAATTGATATGTGATCCCTATGAAAAATGTAATAGAATTTCTGTTTCTTCGGACATTCGTTATAGTACACCGGTAACCATTGTCAAAATCATTTCGAACGTTCAATGCTTCCAAGCCATCAATCGCGAAAGAAACAAATCGAAACCAGTCGCTTGAATTTGATTCTTATATATCTACGGAAATTTGAAAAATAACGTTACTCACGGGATGACCTAACAAATGGAACCGACGAACGCGACCCAAGGGATGTTCGAAGAACGATGACCGACATTTCCGTCCTCAAGTCGTGCCACGTCGGTTCGAGGACACCGGGAGATTTTAACCTTCGCTAGCTCGGCTTTTCTCGGCCCACTGCCAAGAATTCGACTCCGTGCCATCGGAGCACAGAGGCTCAGCCGCCCCCTTGCTAAAATTGCTCCGGCGGCCGAGAAGCATGGCGCCAACACGCGACGCGTTGCCGAACCGTGGAGTAAACATTACATTCCACCGGCCGGTTTTTTCCAACTGTTGCGCCCCGGGTATATCGCGGCTCGCCCAGAAATCAACGGAGAAGTAGCTTCTCCGTCAACATTTCCTTATCCAGTGGGTACGCGGCTTTATTATTGGAAATTTTTGTGCGCTGAATACGTGGCTTAATGCTAGGTTATCAAGTGGATACAGCGTAAGGTAAAGAATTATTTACTTGGATGGAAGATGTGCTCGCAATCATCGTGCGGATACAGCTTTAGGTTACTAAGAATCGTTATAATTATCATTATTAGACGATTGAATTCCAATTATACGTTTGCTATAGACAAAGTAAAGAAGTAACATTCTTCTCGTTCGAATACGCTTTGTAATATAAAATTTGTACGCGATGTAACCTCGAAATTTTCTGTCACGTGGGTACGCAGCATAATACTCGAAACGTGTTTCACGTCCCTAGTCGGGGTGTAAACCCAGAAACTTTCCCCTAAGCGGACACCGGTCGTAAATCTGGAAAGTTTGTCCCATGTGGATACAGCACGCGAGCCTCGATACTTGTTCCCAAGTGGGCACTCACCCTAAACCTACTTCTCGCAATATCTTGCCGTTCGACGCAATAATTCGTGCCGCTCGGAGCGTAAGCCTTCCATTCGCCGGCGGCAATAATCATTTACGATACCGTGTATGTTCCGGGGCTTATCCCAATGTACACAAAAGATCATCGCGGTTTACGGGAAGTACGGACCAGCCGTTCGGCGATGATAAAGGTCAAACAAGATAGCCTCTCCCCTATCGGAACCGTAAAATATTTCCACGGCAAGGAATTGGAAAATTTCGAGCGCGGCTCAGGTATCGAACCTTCCGGTCGATCCTAAATCCACTGTACGATTATTCCATTGTGACTCGAGCCGGGCGTTATTACGAGATTAACGATCCGCCGATGCCCGGGTCCACTTTGATCCGGGGCTTTAAATACCTCGTGCTGCCGGTTCCTCGTTTGGTGCACGTGGACTGCATGGAAAGTTTGTGCCAGGAAATTATCTGTATTTTGCCACGTAACGGTAAAAACCATGCCGTTCTCTTTATCTTCGACACGAGATACTTGCGACCACATGTTGATCTCTCGTACACAATATTGTTCTCTAAATGATTCGGAGGCCGATGCCGCTTTCTGATTTTTTATTGTTCTTATCGTGCCTTCTGTATATTTCTTTTTCACGCGCATTTTTTCTTCTCCGCTAGAACCACCGAAACCGTCGTATTCTTTTATTGATTTTAGTAAATTATCGAATCCATTCGTTCGGTAACACTTTCGCGTTTTCTTATAGACAAAGTCGATCGAAATTTTGGGCCACGATTTATTAATT